AATGTTTGTTTTGCATCCGTAAGGAAAAGTGAGCCTTAATCATCTAGGTGTTAATTCTGGAATATCCAAAGGAATGTCAGATCTGGTTTCTTTTGGATGGATTGAAACAGTCTTTCCAGTGGAAACAGGTTGTTATCCTCATCGCTCCCACTTACTGTGCTTCGGTTTGCTCTGTGTAGCAGCCTCTCAGTCTGTAAACTGCGTCTTTCGGATGAAGCTAAACAGGGATATACACTTCAGGAGTGAAGCTCCTGCATTCCCAGGGCTAAATGAGCTGCCAGTCCAAGGGACAAGGTCAGGGATAGTCCAGAGTGAACTCACCAAATGCCTATAGTGTAGCCATATGATTGCCATAACCAGCTGCTTCGCATAGTATTACTTGATAGTGTAGACACAGCCTGCTCATCTTTGAAGGGGAGAGGCATATTTTGTTCTTCTCGGACATAGCAATTCGAATGACTGTTTGTCCCCTGCACGTAACCATCCAGAGTGAGGTTACCAATTATGCCAGGTTCAGCAGAGACTGAGGAAAAGTGGTAATGCCCTGCACAGACCGGTTCACATGCTCTAGAGTTCTGCTTATTTCCAGCTTCATGTAGGAAGTCTGAACTTTGCTCTTTGAAAGAGCACACCGTACTATAGAGAATATAGCTGACTAGAACTACTTATTTACAAAGGATAGCAATTACAAGGCATATGTCACCGGATATAATTTCTCCCTCTGGGGAAAATTTAAGGGTCTTGTATCTCACAATATAAATAAAGCGCATAACCTTGCCCATATGTGGGAAAGGGATTTTTTTGTTGTCAAGCACTAGGCCAAGGGTACATTGTAGCCTACCACACTAGCTGCTGCTTTAGTTTTGGTAATTTGCAGTAACTTAGGCAGTGGTGTGTTTCTTACATGAGAGGTAACTCTCTGCAAGAGGCATTATTGGGAGCATGCTTATCTGGTTGGTCACAGTGATTTCCACATGAATTCTATCCAGGTTGTTGTTTGTATTTTGGTTGATTATACAAGTTCATCCTTGGGTCTGTGATTCAGGTCATGTCCTGCCTGATTTATACAACATTGTCAGTAACTCAAAGCCTGGGGACCAAGTTTTGCCTTCTCTTGTACAATGTGGTGTAGTTTTTATGTTGACTTTCTCTGGAGTGCAGCATACACAGTAAAATACTAATAATTTATTATGTTTACGTCCTACAGTGGAGGTCATTTTGTTATTTAAGATACTTTACTCATGATAATTTCTTTAAAACTATAAAAACTCTTACCCAAATCATAATGCTGGCCAGAATTCTAACCTGCTGTCTGTATCCCGTGGTGAGCTCTGGGATGACGCATACTAGTGTCCGATAGATGGCAGCATTATATAAATAGAAGAGAGAAATGTGGCTTGTTATTTGATTCCTCAGAGGTTTTGACTCACTGTCAGCCTTGGTGCTCTTAGAATTAAAATAAAATTAATTGAAAAATAATGCAACAATTAGGAAACTGATTGCCAGTATCAAATACATCAATTTGGTTTTAAAGGGATACTGTAGCAATTTTAAAAGTATTCTGGTTTTTGTTCTTGGTTTGCCAATACCTCTGCTGTATGATTAAAGGAAATATTCTAACAAAGACTTCTTGTTTTCTAGAAAATTTGTTTGCCTAAATGACAATATTGATCATAATCATAAAGATGCTCAAACAGTTAAAGCGGTGCTTAGGGATTTTTATGAATCGATGTTTCCCATACCTTCACAATTTGAACTGCCAAGGGAATATCGGAATCGTTTCCTTCACATGCACGAACTCCAAGAATGGTATGTTACACAGGTTCTCTTCAAGTTACTGTAGTGCAATGGCATATAATTATAAAACATACTGGTACAAGCCATTTTTTCCCCAGTATTGTCATGAAGGAGTTAACAGTGAAGATAATGTGAAAAGATTTGAATAGACTAAAATCTGAGGTTTTCAGGATTTGGGTTTTTCTGTTGCTCTTAAAGTCATTAACATTGCATTGATTGGCCCTAACCTACTTCAAATACAGAGGTTTAGAAAACAAAAATAAATCAGGACTTCTGACTTTCTTTAAATGTGAAAAAAATCCATTGTTTGGAATGCCTATTGCAGAGGGGTAACATAACCTATGCTAACTTTCTCACTAAGTGATTTTTTTAATTTGCCAGACAGCAATAATCACCTGGATAATCATATGAAAAGATACGTGTGTGTCTCATTTTTATGTCATGTGTCAAATTTTCATGTGTGTTTACTTCTTGCCATTTTATAAGTAAAATTTTAACTTCAGAAATTGGGGAAGTTGATTTGAGAATACAGGCATTAAAGCTTGGCAAGGATAATGATAAAAATGAGACAAGAAGAGTTGTATAGTAATTTTGTTGCTGACCAGCAGATTATGAGAGAGCACAGTTAGTAAGGAAAGAGAAAATGTTAGAGGAACTGTAGAAGGAATCGGAAGGATTGCAGGTGAGAATAGGGGTGGACTGCAGTGTTACAAGCCCTGCTGTAGCAGTGGCAGAGAGAGTAGGGGGGCAAACCCATTTCAGCAGTTACCTGTAGAAATTTGGGCTGGAGGAGTAGCCACATTGTTGGCTCCCTTTTTGAGGACATCCACCAAGGCTTTGTTAGCTTCACAGGAACACTTTATTTTGACTTGTTTGTAGCCAAAGCAGATTTCTACCAGGGTGGGTTAAAGCATGCTGAAGTGCTGGCGGAAATCCATGGTTATCAGAATGTTTTACAGAATCATAGGACAGCCTAGGTTGGAAGGGGCATCAAAAGATCATCTGGCCCAACATTTTGTGGGAAAGGGAGCCTAGATGAGATTATCTAGCACCCTGTCCAGTCACATCTTGAAAACCTCCAGTGGGGAGACTCCCTGGGCAGGTTGTTCCAGTGAGTGAATGGTTGTTCTCACTGTAAAAAGCAAAACAAAAAACCAAACAAAAAAACCCCCCAAACATTTCTTGTATCAAGATGAAACTCCACACAGTCCAACTTTATACCTGTTGCCCTTGTCCTCTCCATGTGGGTCTTTGCGAGGAGACCCACATGTCTTCTTTCTAGTTACCCATAAGTACTGGAAAAGACTTTCGTTGCCTGTTTCATGGAAACTCTTTGAAGTTTATGTATTTGCATTGATAACATATGAAGCTGTTTTTCTGTTTCCTTCTTTCTTTGTGCAGGAGGGCATATAGAGACAAGCTCAAATTCTGGACCCATTGTGTTCTAGTAACACTTATTGTATTTACAGTCATCTCATTTTTTGCTGAACAGGTAAAATTAGTATCTTCCTATCAATTCTGTAGTGTCTAATATATTGCTGTATCTTCAGGATAACCTAAAATGGGTTTCTTAAATAGGTTTTGACAAGTAGCTAGGATTTTTCCTTCATGAAGGCAGTAAAGATGATACATGACTGATGATTAGATTGCTTCAATTTTCAAGTCATCATGTTGAGATTCCTTGAAAAGAGTGTCTTACGGGGGGAAGGAGAGTGGTGTTCCCTTTTCAGGTGCTTTGTGACTGTTAAGTCCATAAGTGTACTAAATTTAGATGTTCAAAATCAGTAATTGTTTTTGAAAGTCTTGGTCTATTAACACAGATATTGGTAAAAATGCAAAGTTAGTTAGCAGGAAGAAAATTTAAGTAATAGCAGTACTCTAGTCCTGGAGAGAATCTCAAGGTATTTAGGGCCCCTGTCTAAGTCTCATCTAAGTAATTGCAAAGACTCCTATTGAATTCAAAAGGGTTTGAATTTGACTCGGAGGGAAAAACCCTCCACTTCTGCAAGCATAAAATGGCTTTCTTGAACATGATTAATCCTGCTAAACTTAGAGGGAGTCAATGGAACAAATCATATGGGTAATTCTTTGCAGGTTGGGGCCTTAAGTAACACTTTCCGTGGTCTGATGAAGAGGGTGTAATTCTTGAAAGGTTGGCTTTTGATTATTATTTTTTTCCCACCTGTAACTTTTGCATGAATCTTTCCCTTGATTTTCAGCCTTTTGTATATATTAGAAAACTCACCCTCCGTTAGTAACTTGGTTTTGGAAGGGGGTACTCCACTCAGTAGTACAGCTAGGTATAGAAATACTGTTTTAAGATGCCAGCTTTGTGTTGTTCTTTTAGAAACTGGATGTAGTCTGACGTTCTATTAGTTTAAATACACAACTTTAAAATAATCAGAATATAGGCGTACTGTATTTTTCACTTTCTGCTTGTATTCTGGTTATTGAGAAGTCCAGTGGAAATGTGAGTGCCTAATAGATGAATTTGAGTAAATAACTTTCTTCCTGTACAGTGGTGGGGGGGGGAAAGGACAGTATTGACTTAATTACCATGGATGGTACATATTTTATAGTTTCTAGGAGGCAAGCCTGACCAGCTGTGCACCTCTAGCCCAGCAGAGAACTAAATACGGTATTTTTTTCTCTCCTCAGCTAATTGCACTTAAACGAAAGATTTTTCCAAGGCGAAGGATCCAAAAGGAAGTTGGTCATGAACGAATCAAAGTGTAGAAGAGCTTTATTTTGGAGATCAGTCTACCTCAAGATGTGATAAGCATTTAAAATCTGTCTCTCATAAGTGTCTTTTATGGTTTGACATTTAACTGCGTTGATATGAAGAAAAAAAATCATGCATCTACAGTTAAAATCTCCGCAGTACTCTTCGTGACATACAAGTTGCTGGAGCTGCGACAATGCAAAACAACAAAAAATGAATAATTGCAGGAAACCTGTACATAGGCAATTTTCAACAGATCTTACTTTACAACTGTTAGTTCACGGCCATGTTATCCTTTTTTATAAAAAGGGTTACCTAAAGAAATGTAGCTGCATTTATTGCAGTGGATGTTGCCAACTAGATAAAATGTTGGAAGGCAAAGTTGTCTGGGATCAGCTTAAACAGGTCCTTGATCTTGCATTCCAAAACATTTTGCAAATTTCTGTTGTTGCTGCTTTTTTTTTTTTTTTTTTAACCCTACGGGAAAATTGAGAATTATGTAAGTTGTCATTTAGATTTAGTATACATTTATTCATGTTGACCTTCTTTAAAGCACAGTGACAATTCATCCCCCTATTTGTAGTATTTAATTGGGATGTGGAAGAAATGTATGCTAATAAAAAAAAACACGGCAAAAGAACAACTACTGGTTATTTGAAAGACACTTTATATCTGATGTATTATATTCCAAAGAATACAATGATGTTATTTCTTGACATAATTACAAAGGGAGGGTTGTAATCAAATGAAAGTGATCAAGGTACAGTATTTTACAAAGCACTGTAAGTATAAAAGCAAAAGTGCCTCTCTATATGAATGGGTAACAAACTGTTTTAATGTAGCAATGTATGGGAGCAGTGTTTCACTTCTTCAGAAAACTATTTGTACTGACATATGAAGCTTTGGTGTTTTTAAACTTACCAGGGTTTGGGCCCTGTATTTTGCCGAGACATCAGAATAGTGCGGTTTTATGTGAAAAAGGGTACTGAATCTTTTCAAGCAGAAATTTTTGATTGTGTATCTTCAGTTAATTGTATTAGCAGTATTCAAAAAAGCATTAATTTTTGTAATCAGATGATGTACAAAATGTATGTGCATATGTATTGTAAGATACTTGGTTTGCTTTGAAATTAACTAAAATATGATGAAAGTTTTGTCTGTTTCTGTTTTAAAGTAAACAAAACCACCCATTTTGATAAATTAGCCATTAATGTGTATGAATCCTTGTTAAAAGTTCATATTTTTCCCTTAAACTTCTTACAGTATTAATTTAATACTAATTTGAAGCATGAATGTATTCTCAAAGTAGAATCAAACTTCTGAGCATTGTAAAAATGCAAGCACTTTTAATAATTAAGGTTATATTTCATGCTAGCAACATATATTATGCTGAAACATAGAATATAAGTTGCTTAAATCTACAGTACTTCAGACTAGCAGAAAACGAGACACTTCAAGAAATAGAAGAAGGTTTTGATAGCTTCTTGCACTTCAAACTATTATTAGGTTCTGTTTTTTAAAGTAATATTTGGAATTCTAATCAAAATAGTTGGAAGAACTTGGTTGAAATTTTAAGGCAGTTTTTCTGCTGAAGTTACATATAAATAGTTTGCATAGGTAGCTCGGATGTCACTGCAATTAATTTTTGTTTAAGCAGTTCTGAAGGTAAGTTCATGGCATTTCATTTATCTTCAGCAATAACAGCCAAAAAACGTAGCACAACCTTACTGAGAAGCATCCACTGAAAATCCCTGCTAAAATTTTTGAGCACGGTACCCGGAAAAAAAGCAAGCAAGGGAAGTAAAGGTTGTATACAAACACTAGTGGGGTGGCAACTTGGCACTCACCCAGCCACCCGCTCATTCCTGCCAGCGGGATGAGGGAGGGAATCGGAAAAGTAAAAGGTTATAGCACAGGCGTTACCTGCACTGGTTTGGTCACCAGTATAAAATGCAACACCAGGGCGGGGCTGCTGTGCGGAAAGTTAACTCCACCCCAGCCAGACCCAGCAGAAACTTGAACTTAGTTAAGGAAATACGAAGTAAAATGTCTCAAATGGCTGAGGTTAATGAAAAGATTGAAAATTGAAATAGTGCTAGGATTTTTAATTTAGATCAATAAAGCATGTAGTTTGTAAAATTAATCTGACTGGGGAAGTACTGCCTGTTTGCATTGATTTAGGGAAAAAGACTCCTTCGGCATTGTGCCCTACCCTACATCTGTAAAAACCTATTTTGCAGACTTTTTGTTTCCCCAATGCGAAATTAAAGCCATTTCTATTTAAAAAAAAAAACAAAACAAAACAAAAAAACCAAACAACGGATAAAGGTAGGTGAGGTTTAAACGAGCTTCACGTTGAATCAGCAGGACGCGCCCGGCCTGGCCCGCAGGCGCCGCGCCTCAGGGCCCTGGGGAGGTGTTACTGCGCATGCGCCCTCTCCCCTTTGTGCCGCCCGCCCTGTTTCCCGCCTTTTCTTCTGGGGTGGGAGCTGCTGAGGCGGGGCCACGTTCCTTCGTCAGGGGGTGCCGGAGGGAGGGTGAGGGCTGCGAGGGGCTCTGGTGCCGGCGGGGGTGAGGGGCTTTGGGCGAAGATCGCAGGGCAGAGGGATGGAAGGGTGGTTGGGCGGAGAGTAAGGAGCAGGGTGCCCCTCAGCCTTTGGCACCCCGCTGGCTTCCCCTGGAAAGCTGTTGTGGCTCAGGTCTCCCTTGCAGCTCTGAGGTAGAAAGAGGTGGGCGGCCACGGGGAAAAGCCCCACATAGGGCATTCACGCAAATACTGGTTTATTTCCCATCTTTTTGGTCAGGGTGAAACAAGGAGGTGAGTTTCTCTGAAAAATCATTAAATACACAGCTGTAGATTGAAGATCACTGAATCGGCCAAAGCAGGTAGCTACACAGGATGGGTGGAGGCTGTATGGGGTCGCGAGGAGGCAAGATTGTTTTGCAGTGTCTGGAGGGACTGGGGAGTTCTGCTCTGTATACTGATTTTCAGTACAAAGAAGGGTGCCTATATGTGAGATAAAATAGATATAAATAATTATCTGTTCACGCTTGTAGTTTAAAGTTGAAGTGCTTTATTTGGCAGCACAGAGCCATGCACAGCCAGATGCTGTCCTTAAATCGTGTTTTCGACAGCTGCAGTAGTTGCAAAGCAGAATGAGTCTTGAAAATTTTCTCTCATTTGAGGATAATTATAATGTGAGAACTTTTGATTTTTCCAATTAATAATTTAGAGAGGTTTTTTTTTTTTAAAGAAACTTGTAAGGTCTAAAAAGCTTCATACTATATAGAGTAGCATCAACCACAGAAGAAACTGGATATTAAAAAGCAGTGCTCCTTACTTTGTAGCTCAGTGTGATCGTGTAGATATCCATGCAATACCTGGTTAAAAAACCGTATTTTTGTAGCTATGGACAACTAATTCGAAAAACAAATGGGAAACTCCAGTGTGTGAGACAGCTTTCAATGCTGGGGGCACTTCACAGTCCTGGAAATTCAAAAGATCTTTACTGGAGTTCTCAATTTCAGCATGTGAACTTAATTTTCAGATGTATCTTTGCCCTGGCTTGTGGCAAACCGATTGATATTTCTAGCTGTGTTGAATTGCATCTAGAATGAGAAGTTTATCAACTGCTGAGTCACCTCTTGCTCAGTTTGGAAAACAGGGTACTTAACAGCTGATAGTGGGTTTTTTTTCTGTATTCTTTCCATCTTCCAAGTAATCCTGTTATTTTTTGAAGGATTTTTAAAAGTATATGTCTTGTGACACTTAACTTGAAATGCTTCATACCTCTTGCTATCAGACAAAGATAAGATGAATATTTCATCAAGAATTCAGTAGCTTGCTATTTCCTGTTGTATTTGTGTATTATTTATATTGTGATAAAGTTCTAAGGAAAAAATTATTTGATTTTGTCATTCATGCATTTAATGATTATAACTATGCTCTTTTCTTTCTAATTAGATATTTTACTCCTTGCATATTTATAAAAATACACAGAATATATAAAAATTGGCATTACTACAGTAAAAAAGTGTCTTTTAAGAGGGCAGCGTATTTGTAAAACATTTACAAATACAGAAACTGCATTAGTTGCATTTCAGAATGCAGAGGCATAATAGCTAAAAATAAAGATAATTTGAAAAGCGAAAGTTACCCAGGATTTTTAAAAATGGCATATATGTGTGTATATTTGTCTAGTGTGGGATGGCTTCTAGAATCAGATTGTTCCTTATGGTTTAGCACTTCTATATTTTGTAAAATAGAATATTGACATAGCTTTTTGGGAATGCAGTACTGGGTATGGCAAAATACGTAATAAACATTATGGAAGCTGAGCAGGCAGACACCATAAGAAAGTGGATAATTTACTTCCTTGTTTTTCAGTGGAATCAAGTATGTAGCTATGAGTCCTGGTATTTTTTTTTATTTTTTTTTACCCTGTTCTTAAAAACACCACTGATGAGTAATCCTGTGGATTACCTCAAAACTAAAACAGCTTGACTGTTTGAGTATCCTTACAGGTGGAAACTATTATAGAGGTGTCTATAACAGGTCAATGTATCCATGAAAACATATTTATCATCGAAGTATTGTGGGGAAAATTATCAGCAGGAAGAAAATCTCATTATGGCACCATCGGGAAGAAAGCATGGAGGAAAAGCTGGTAAACCGGCGCAGGAAGATCAAGCCATACCCGCCTACGACTTTCAGGAGGAAAGAAAAGAGCTGAGTGGATCAGAGGAAGATGTTAGAGAAGGTGCTTATGTGATTTTTTTTATTTTTTTTTAAATGTGAAGTTTGTAGTATTTCTGACTAAATGAAGATGTTTCCGTGTTAGCGAGTGTCTGAGCAAGCATGGTTCATAATGTCTGTGACATTGGTAAGAGAAGAGAACACGACAGAATAGCTCTGTGCAGTGCACTATTATGTATTATAATTAGAGGTGAGGACTTTGTTAGCTTATTTTAATGCCATATCTTTCCATCACCTGGCTGCATATAACACTGTGAGATAGGACAGAACAGGAGAGCTCTGCTCGCTTGTGTGGAGTGCTGAGTGGGGTAGGGTAGGTTGGAGTCTTACTGTTGGCAGCGTTAAGAGTACTTCGGCAAGAATCTGAACCGAAGAAAAGAAAGAGGAAGAAGGAGAGAAAGCTGAGGAAAAAAGAAGTGAACCAAGGGATTCTTGTTTAATATCTATTTGCAATTTTGCTGTTTTAAAGGTCAGCGTACACAATTGCAGTACTTACTTTACAGTAAAATGAAATTCTTATAGATTGAGCTTTTTTCAGCGTTTAGATTATTTTTACCGTTCTGATGATTGCTATCGTGTAAGTTGGGAGTAATTGTGTAGTAGCAGACAGGGAAAATAAAGCTGGTTGAGACCTGTCTAGAGGAACTCAAGCCTTGCAGGATAATTCACCACGATCTGTCAACTCCGGTTGCAGAGTTATAGGAGCTGCATGTGTTGTGAATGGGAACTGAGACCCATGAGATGTTTTCAGAGAAGTGGCATTACAGAAAAGTAATTACAGTTTTAATAACTCAAATGACCCCTACAAAATAGAAGATAATTTTGTAAATCTTTTTGAAATTTATATTAAGGCGAAACACCAGTAATGGACAAGCATGGAAAGAAAAGACCTTTGGTGGCCACTCATGTGGTTCCAGATGATGTGGGGTAAGGTTAGGATTTTTTTTTTCCTTTCCAAAATAAGCAAGTCTTAAGACGATACTGATTTCAGTTATTAACTGTGCTTGTTTTGCTTAGTATTGGGGTTATTTTTGTTAGTATTTGATTCAAAAATCAGGTGATAGACAATACAGTAGTTGTAGGTAAAAAAAGAAAATGCAACATTTAAAAATTAGTAATTCTTTAGTTTTTTTGTGAATACTTTTGAACATCTATAAAAAATGGATGTATTTGTGTGAGTTCTTAAAATTCTTGTTTCTTTCAAAAGATTATTTCAGTTTTATCCTAAATTGTTGATAATTTCATTAATTTTTTTCTCTGATCTTAGTTGCTTGAAGATGGTAACAGTACTTTAAATGATCCAACTATTGCAAGAAAAATAAATTCTATTTACAAATAAATCTTAGGAAATGAAGTATTTATGGGAAGTGTAATAAAAAAGTGTATGTTGACATAGGCTTTAGCAAGATTGTAGCTGTTGAGTGGAAGAGAATCTTTTTCCCTTTCCTTTTTTTTTTTTTTTTTCTTTTACTCTTCAAAAAAAAATATTGTCCTGTAGAGAAGGGGATATAAAAAAAAGATAAACATTTTCTTTACCCACTATGTCCCTTTTTGGACTTGTCAGCTATTGTACCACTGCCTTACACACTGGTGTTATCTTAAAAGTGTTGTAAAAACAACCCTGATATTATTTGTCTTGGATTTTTCTTACTGTGCCAGTCGTTCTAATTGGGATGGACTTGTTTTCATTTTATGTTCCAAATAACTTTTGTGTTTTCTTTTTGTATAGGGAATAATCAATTTTATTTACTGTCCTCCCTCACTCAAGGACACTTTAAATGCCTAATACTGCCTTTTTACTGGAGAGTAAGTTAATAGATTTTAGTAAATTTTTTTTTTTTTTTAAAAAAAATTAGTCTGAAAAAGGGACCTCTCAAAGGAGGAGAAAAGGAATGTCATTTTTTATGTTTTACAACAGTAGCAGCTGTTACTGCTTACAAGTAATAGGCACATGAATAAAATCAGTTCTAAGCATATACAGCAGGTTTTATTCTGAAGTCAGAAAATGAGGAAATAAAAATTGTAAACTGTTTTGTAGGGGTGAAGTACAGAATATGCTGGAAAGATTTGGAGGTAAGTACGTTTACATTCTAATAAATTAAGAAACAATTTATGTTTAAGTTGCGGAATTGGCAGTGATTCTTTACCATAAAATAACTTTCAAGATTCACGTAAAAAACCCAGTCTTTGTAGCATGTTTCAGCATTTCTGAAAAAAGCCAGTTTTCAGAAAGAAGTTACATGTAAATAGAGTAAAGAGAAAGAAGAGAGGGGAATAACTGCATATAAGGTGAGATGTAAGTATTAGTGTAGGTAATTACAAAGGAAAAAGGGATTTTGATTACCAGTTCCAATTTTAAGATGTGGTGTAAGAGGTAGTTGTTATATAGTAGAGAAAAGGGGCAGTAGGAGTTAGCTGTTCTCAATTTTTTGTTGCAATGAGGTAGAAGAGACTGAGGATTGCAAGACTTGCATGGGACATTAAGGGCATGTAAATATTAATATAAGCAGCTAAATAGAACAAAGAGTTCTAATTCTAGACAAGGAATTTTGGAAGTAGATTGGAGTTGTGATACAGAACGAGCTAGAGCGCGGTCTGTACTCCGCACCTTCAGAAATCTAGAGAACAGGGAATCAGTAGAAAAGACAGTTTCGGCAGTTGGGAGGAAGAGTACCAGCTTCTAGAAGAGCTAAAGAATGAGGGTAAGTAATGCCAGTCATCTAGTGATGAGAGGTTTAAGCGTGCCACCTAGTTGGATTTAGTTTAGTCATCATCACATCTTCAGATGGCTTTACTTACAGTTAAATTTCCAGCTGAATTCTAGATAGCCGACAGGTTAGAGAAAGTTAGAAAACGCAGTTCACTTGTAAAGAATTTATAATACACATCACAGTGTAACAAAGCATCAAAAAGCCGTGGAAGGAAGGAAAACCATCTTAATGCCAGTGTTACATACTCAATAGCTGGTTAATACTTTCATTGTATGTATAAGAAAATTCTTGTATGGAGTTGCTAGTTGCATGTAAATCGTAAGGTGAAAGAGGAGTTGAAGGAATTCCTTAATCCATGAATTAAGACTTTTTGCTGTTAAGGTACATATCGGAATGCTACTGTAGATGTAGCAGTCTAGACAGGAGGAGGATTTCAGTGTTAAAAAGCTGGGATTGCTTGTTACTGAGGACTCAAAAACAGGATAGAAGGAAGGAAAATGAATGGATCGGAGAGGATGCTGTCTGCTCAAAAATAATAGGTTGGGCATTAGCAGGGGCAGATGCTTCAGCAAATTAGAGAGAGAGGTTCGACAGATGTTTCCTGAAATCTGCAGTGAGAAGGAAAAGAAATTGCTGCATTAACCTCAAGCTGTGACTTGTTAAGTCTCAAAAATGTAAATTAAAGTGAAACAAACATACTAAGTTATGTTAACTTGAATACTTCTAAAACATATGAAGTCTCTCTGAAGTGTGAAAAATAGTTTGTCAATTGCTCATTGAAAATGCTCACAGTGATAGATACTACCTTTATTTCTGAAACCAGTAATTTGAATATTACTCTGAAACGTGGTTTTCCTAGGAAAAAAAAAAGGTGTCAGCATAACTGAATTCCTTGAAGGTGAGGAAACTCTGAGCTGGCACTGCAGCCATGCAGCTAAACTAGTGAGGATTTTGATGGTGTGACTAAGACATCATTAGATACTAGAGAAAAGAGTCTGTACTCAGTCAGGTTTGTGTGCAAGGTATCTCTAGCTTTGAAGAGAGAATTTACTGACTGAGATGTCCAAATGCAGTGCTAGACGATGCGCCGTGTGAGCTGATTGGGTAGTGGTGCTAACGTTTCAGCATCTGTGTGTGTTTATTATACAGATGATGTGTTAGATGGGCATGTTGGACCATAATCATCAGTAGGGGAACACATGATGACAGCATGTAAGGAGCAGATTTAAACATATGTAATGGCAGCACTGCAGCTGCCCCAAGTTCAAACTGCCGGACAGCTTCCGTTTGCTGTGTGTGTGTCTGCTCAGAGCCAGGCTGACCCCGTACCCCCTACCGCCCTGCCCGGAATGACAGAAGCTAAAGCCGACTCACATCATGGTTGGTCCCATTTGGTCTGGCCCCTGAGAGAGGTGGGACTGGAAGCAGATGCTAGGGTAGCTGGTGGGGCTGGGCAAGGAGCAGTTGCAATTCCAGAGGTCAGGGGTTGGTTTGGGTGCAGGGGGGCCTCGGGGGAGCAACACTCACCAGGTGGAGGGACACTGAACACAGCAGCCAGGAGCCCCAATCACGCTAGCTTCTTTCTGTTAGACCACACCTCGCTGGCTTCTTCAGAGCACAACTCATCAGCATTTTCAATAAAAGGCACGATGTAGCTCGGTGTGCTTAATTTCTAAATATTCTTTTGAATTTTAGCTGACATTAACAAGGCTCTCTTAGCTAAGAGGAAACGATTAGAAATGTATACGAAAGCCTCGCTCAAAACCAGTAACCAGAAGATTGAACATGTTTGGAAAACACAGCAGGAGCAAAGGTAACATTTACTCTTGTTTTTCAAACCTGTGAAATCAGATTCCCTTTTGTGTCACAGCACGGATCCATCTTTGTGCAGTTAAATACCTGCTCAGGTCCTCTGTTTCCCCTGCCTCCAGGTGTGTCCACTTGGTTAAACTGACAGTAGTAATTTAGCATAGGGCTTTCTCTTTTGAATGGAGAAGCTTAAGATTTGGAATTTTGAGAGCAAAGTACCTTAAAGAGCTGGGTTTACTTTTGGTTTAGCTTTATGAAAAATGATCTTTGATGTTGTTTCTGTCTTTTAAACCAATGTTTTTATTTTTTCCGCTTCAGTTGGAATTTTCTGTTTCTACTTGAAAACTGAAAAATGTTCAGTAAAACTTTTAGACTGTTCTGGTTAAGAAATAAAATAATTTTCATTTTCACATTGTAAATAATTTGCACCCTACACAATATTCCTTTTGCCTCCTAAGGCATATTTAATTACTACATCTGGTACTACGGGTAGAGCAAACTAAAAAACGAGACAGCTAAAAACTAAAAGTTGGCAATACTTGTAACTGTTTCGGTGATTTTATATATTTGAAACTTGCATTGACAAAATTTACGTTTACATAGAGAAACTAGAGCATAATGAGTTAATGAATGAGCTAATCAATTTTCCGTTATAAACCCCATGTGTTAAAGCTGCGATCTGCAGTTGGGTTAGAAAAACAGTAAATCTCAGAAAACCTGACACTGTTAGGAATAAAAGTTGCTGTAATTTTTTATTTTAACCTGAGCCAGCTCCTTTTATTCTAATCCATGTTGAACCTTAGCTTTCGTTGTAATACTTACGGCTAGTGTCTCTTTACAGGCAGAAGCTCAATCATGAGTTCTCCCAGCAGTTCATGACTTTATTTCAGCAATGGGATGTAGATGTGCAGAAGGCAGAGGAGCAGGAAGAAAAACTAGCGGTGGGTTTCCAGCATGGCGTGAGTTTCACGGTATTTTCACAGGGAGGGAATGTTGCTGTTTAGACATTCAAGAAATGTAAAAACGGTTTCTGTAGTTCAAACAACCATATGATTGTTTGCCTCCATTAAAAAAAAATCATTCAACTTTTCGTGGCTCTCAAACTTTAAATGTTTTAAGTTTTAGGATATATTTTTAAGTGAAGAGGGGTACATTTATAAACTTTATTGCAAGTTTATAAATGGCAATATGTGACGCCCTAGGCCAGCACACAGCTTGAGAAAAGCAAAGACCATCTGTGGAGAAGAAAGATGTGTGCTGTTTCTGTGTATCAGTAATCTTTGGGTTCAGGGAACACAGGAGTAAAGGCAAGTAGCTGTCTTTTAGCATGCACTGCTTGAAAATATGCCCGCATAGAATGCATGTGTGAGAATTTGATCACTGAAAGGGGATAGGAGCCACACAATGGAATGTAACCACACGAAGTTGCTGTGTTTGTACTCCCAACACATTTACCCCACCTGGAGTACTGTGTCCAGTTCTGGGCTCCCCAGTTCAGGACGAGGATCTCCTAGAAAGAGTTCAGAGGAGAGCAACAAGGATGATAAAGGGACTGGAGCATCTCCCCTACGAGGAAAGGCTGAGAGAGCTGGGCTTGCTCAGCCTGAAGAAGAGAAGACTGAGAGGGGACCTCATCAACACATACAAATATCTTAAGGGTGGATGTCACAAGGACAGAGCCAGACTCTTCTCAGTGGTGCCCAGCAACAGGACAAGGGGTAATGCGCACAAACTGAAGCATAAGAGGTTTCAGTTGAATGAGAGGAAAAACTTCTTTACTTTGAGGGTGACAGAGCACTGGAACAGGCTGCCCAGGGGGGTTGTGGAGTCTCCTTCTCTGGAGATATTCAAAGCCCGCCTGGACGATGTCCTGTGTAACATGGTCTAGGTGAACCTGCTTTAGGTTGGACTAGATGATCTTCGGAGGTCCCTTCCAACCCTTGCCATTCGTGATTCTGTGATTTACAAGTTTTGCTTTTCCCTCAGTAGCTTGTTTCCCTGGGATACCCTCAAGAACTGCATTGGATACCAATCCTCATAGGATCTCATAGGGATAATTCAGGTTGGAAGGGACCTCAGGAAGTGACTCAGGACTTAATCCAGTCTTCAGTCTTTCTTTCATTAATAAGAACAAGGATAACTCTCCAGGCAGAGATCTACGTTACATGACCCAGATTTCCGGTGAAGGCAGAATTTCCAATTCTAATAAATGACAACAGTGTTGCTGTCCAAGCACTTTTGGTTAACTAATGCGATTTTTTTTTTTTTTCTTTTGCTTCTGCTTCAGAATATGTTTCGTCAGCAACAAAAAGTTTTTCAACAGGCAAGAATAGTTCAGAGTCAGAGACTGAAAACCATTAAGCAACTCTATGAGCAATTCTTAAAGGTACGGTAAATTTTCTTTTTAGAAGGCAGCTGATCCTTATCACATCACTTAAGAAAGCTGTATTAATTCAACCTTTATGACATACAGAGATTTAAGGTTCACTTAAGGAAAATAATAGCCTTGCATGAATATTCATGTTAGTATCTTTCCCTTATTTATTAAGAACATGGCTTGTTCTCTCTACACATACATACAGATTGCGCCTGTGTAATAAATGATGTAGTTAAATATGTGCTCATAGGGATCCGATCGGTTCGCCTGTTTCAAATACTTAACCACAACCCTCAGAGCGTACTTTCTAAACAGAACACAGTTTTGTACCAGTTTAAAGGTTATACAGGTCAGTTAAATCATCAAGATTTTGTCTTAATTATTCCCTCAGATTTTTGATATGTATTTAAAAATTGAAACTTGACAATCTATTAAAAATACATCTTAAGCTGCAATTTACCGCTCTTACTACTGCTGGCAGGTGCAGTCCCCCATCATGAGAATTAGGTACCATTTTATTTCTGTCACTAATCTTTCTAGCTATTGCTGCTTCATGTAAGGAAAGTGACCCTTAAAGAAAATCAATTGTAATTCCCTTAAAATTGCCCATTTAGAACTTGCTTCATCTCTCCCTAAGCAACTTTCATTAGAAAGGGTTTTCCTTTCTGTAACCTGGTATTCAAGGTAAGAAGTTGCTAAAATGTCAACAGGAAGAATCTGATGGAATTAATGATTTATGGTGAAAACAGGCTCAAGCTGGATGGTTATGTAATCAGTCCCATTTAACTTTCCTGTTGCTCTATGCTGGGAGTACCTACAAACACCATTTTTTTGGACAGTGCTTACAGAGATAATTTATTTTAAACACGTGATTCATACTGCTCAACTGTGGTGTGTTTTGTTTTTTAACGAAGTAGCTGACATACTAGACAGCAAACAAAAAATGATAATAACTACTCAAAAATTTGACTTTTTTTGTAAAAAAAAAAATATTCCCAGAGTTTCCTTTCCCCGCTATTTTTCTAAGTAAGGTACGAGAGATCTAAACTGTGAGAAAAATGAAAGCACCCTAAACTATTGGTTTTGTAAAGAATGCAGAGGCATGGTACCACAGAATCACTGAAGGGCTGAGGTTGGAAGGGACCTCTGGAGGTCATCTGCTCCAGCCAGCAGGTGGTACGGCAGGGATACCTAGAGTCAGTTGCCCAGGACTTATGTCCAGATGGCTTTTGAATATCCCCAAGGATGGAGACTCCACAGCCTCTCTGGGCAGCCTGTGCCAGTGTTTGCTCACGCTCACAGTAAAAAAGCATTTCCTGATGTTCAGAGAACCTCCTCTGTTTTCAGTTTGTGCCCATTGCCTCTGGTCCTGTCACTGGGCACCTCAAGAGCCTGGCTCAAGCTTCTTTGCGCCCCCCCTCCTCAGGTATATATGTATGTAGATAAAATCCACCCCCACACCCCAAGCCTTCTCTTCTCCAGGCTGAACAGTCCCAGCTCTCTCAGCCTTCCCTCATACGCGATGCTCCAGTCCCTCAGTCATCTTCACGGCCCTTCCCTGGACTCTATCCGGTAGCTCCACATCCCCCCTGTACTGAGGAGCCTGGAACTGGACCCAGCACTCCAAGTGTGGCCTCACCAGCGCTGAGTAGAGGGGAAAGATCACCTCCCTCAACCTGCTGGCAACGCTCCTCCTAAGGCAGCCTGGGAGACCATCAACCACCTTTGCAGCAAGGGCACACTGCTGGCTCATGTTCAACTTTGTGTCCACCAGGACCCCCAGGTCCTTTTCTGGCCAAGCTGCTTTCCAGCCAGGCAGCCCCCAGGGTATACTGGGATGTGGGGCAGATTCAAGTCTGCCAGTTTCTGACAAACTTTCATTTCTGTTCAAGGCATTTCCATTTGAAATTTCAGCTAGTTGTGACATGCTCGGGTTTTTTCTTTTCCAAGTTTTGTGGCTTCAATAAATAAATCTGAAATAGAGCAACTCCTAGTTTAAGATAGATAGGTGAAATTCAGAGAGGATATTACCGAAGCATTAATAAATAATAAATGTTCCAGAATGTCAAAAATGTCTTCATAAAATATGAAAAATTGAACAGAAGGTCAAGTATTACTTTGATTTTTCTCCTCAAAGAAGATCAAAAGGTAGAAATCAAACCTCAAATAAGCTTAACTAAGTACAAGTCAAGGAAAATGCAGCTATGCACAGAGATAGATAGTATTTGTATGTAGGAAAGGGAAGATAACCGGCGAGCTTTACTTGGCTTATTTGGGGAGAAGTGTGCAAAGAGAAGGAAATGAATGGATTTTATAGTCCTTACTTCAAGTCTCCAAGATTGTCATAATATTAACCCCCCTCTCATTCCTGAAAGATGTCTGTTCAGTCTTTTCTTGTAGAACACTAATCCTTACCAAACTGCAGTCTAACTAGCCGAGCCCTCACAGATGCTGGGCAGGGAGGGACAGGACCGTTTCCTTCACAGGGTCTATAGTGTTTAAACAGGAGTGTAGACTGGAGTATGAAGTCCTGTATGATTTCTCTGTCAAGTTCATGAAAAAACTAATCCATTATCAGTGACCGCCACTGCTGTAAAAGTTGAACAGCAGTCTGAATAATGGTTGGTTTGTTTTGTTCTAAATTAAGCCTTTGACACTGGACAGTTCTGAATTAAAGATTATCCTTAACCTCAGAGCATGGAAGAGCTGGAGAAGAGCAATGAAAATCTTCTAGCCGGTGCGCAAAGTGAACTTCGCAAAGAAATGGCTATGTTGCAAAAGAAGATTATGATGGACACGGTAGGTATCAGATCTGTGAAGAATTTAGTTCAATGCAAAAATAGAAAATTCTATAAAAAAAAAAAAGTCATTTGGCATTCATTTAATTAACTCAAAGGAATCGTATTGATATGGCATTTGTTCAGTATTGTCTCCTTTTCTTCTAACAGCAACAGCAGGAGATGGCAACCGTTCGCAAGTCTCTTCAGTCCATGTTATTCTGATGGCTCAGTGGAGAAACAACTTGTACCTAAGTAACATGATACAAGTATAGGCATTAGCCATAGAGAAGTACGTTAAGATTTAAATGTTTTAAAGTTCCTATTAAACGCTTTCATGGATTGTTCTAATCTTGCGTCTGATAATGCTGTAAGAATGTATATTAGTAAATTTATTACCTTGAGGGGGGTGCGATATGGACCCCAAACCATTTACTGTCTGTCCAATTAATCTTTAATTTCTTAACACTCACTTTCAGTAGCATTGGACTGTTTAAATTCTTTCACTTTTTATAATGCCAAATCGTAACAATGGGCAGAATGAACGAAAAATGCATTACCCAGCTTTTACATAATAACTTCAGGCCTTTAGGTACATTGTGCAAATAGAAGCATTTTTCACAAGCTGCAGACTTTATGATTTTCATAGTTTCAATATTTAGTCTGCTGACGTATCAGCAGTTGTAAGAGTTCACAGAGTGTGACATAGCTCATGTAAGATTGCTTAATGATGTGTATTATGGTAAATTAAAGTAAATTTTGTTGCCTCTTTTGTTAGGCTAGGCATTGTAATATCTTAGTACTAGGAAGAGATTTATGAACTGCTGTAATTTGTCCAAAAAGCAGGTTTCTTTAGTTGAATGATGAGCTGGCTGTCGCAGCTTTATATGATACCTGCTTGAGCAAGCATAATTAAACATTATGCAGTTTGGGGCATATCGTTCTTGTAGAACCACTGCTAGAAGTAATCATCTCGCTCTTTTATTTAGTACAAGTTATTACAAACCTTTGAGAAGGACTGTTACTTTTTGCAATTCCAAGTGACTGGCAATTTAGGGAGGCCTAAGTTTTAAGGAGAAATCATTTATCTTTCATGTATCTCATTACAGTAAATCAGTATAAATTAAACAGTTGGCTCAGCTTGCACGCAGTCTGTTTTTACAGGAAACCATTACGCCCAAATACCCACTTTTACAAATTAGGTAGTTCCTAACATATTTAATGCTTAGATTTAATACAGTAGTAGATAAAACAAAACCCATCCAAACTTCCACATGCACAAATGTGATGTTTTCATAACAATGTATTTCAAAACCAGTCATACGTCGGCTTCTCCTCAGCTTACAAGCATTTTTAGCTCAGAATCAAGCCACTTGATGAGGGGTCTCCAGTTCTGGCAGCCAGATGAGTGATGGCTAACTTACAGAAACTTCCGCCATTAGGTTGTGGCTGAAGTTGAACAAGCAGTAGGACGGAGCTCGATTTTGTTCTGCGTCTGCTGGGACTCGCGGAAGGGGCAAACACAGAAGTTGCATTGCTGCAATGACACACGAAGCGGTATGGGCCTCTGGTGGGTAACGCGCAACTGTGCTGATTTATAATGGTGCTGCTGAGTCTCAGCCCTCTAAGGATAATTAGATGATGCTGTGAAACACAGTTAACAGGTTTTCCTTCCTATCTTCAATACTAGGTTATTTGTTAGCATTGCCTCCTGTTTCTGGTTTTATTTGCTAGCATTGCCTCCTGTTTCTGGTTTTATTTGTTAGCATTGCCTCCTGTTTCTGGTTTTCTGACCGATGTCTGCATTAGTTTTCCATCATCCACACATCTCAATCATATCCTTAAAACCACTTAGACCTCCTACTACTGCACGACACATCTTTGAGCAGTCGGGGGAACCAAACCGTCTCACTCTAAAGAAGTTGCCTGTGTCTTTTCATCAGGTGGTTAATTTGCTGACAGGAGTCATGCAAACCAAAATGGTCTTTACCATCTTCTATTTGCCCATGGCCTGGGTTCAGGCTAAGATCACATGTAGAGGCTGCATCTTTCCCAGCCGCTAACAGGCGCGGCAGGATTCGGGTAACTGTCATGGTTACCCCTCAAGTGTGTCAGTATATCCTTCTTAGGCAGGAGTGCGGTAGGGGGTATTGTATTCCCTCCAAATTTAGCAGATGATACACCATGTTTAAAGGTCCTTGAACACCTCAGAAGTCTTTCTGAATTAACGTGCAGCTGGGGAGCTGCAGGGGCAATACTTTTAAAACAAAGCATAGCATTCTTTATTGTGCAGTTCAGGAAGGACTTTACGAACTCACAGCTCAGCTACATTTCGGCAACTGAAAGTGGTAACGGAGAGTTACATTCAACAGCTTTTTACGAAAACCATATTCAAACAGTACCTCTTTAAAGGAGCTTAGGCTTAGAGGGTTGCTGTGCAAGTCGTGATTTGCTCGTACAGATAATAATCTACTGTCACTCAGCCTTTCTCTAATGCCAACGGCAGCCCTTCAGCTAGGCACGTGATGGTAGCCAGTGGGTCTGCGCTTAAAGAAAGAGAAAGGCTGATAGTGGGCCTGACTGTCTGTTTTGGGAGAGTTTTACTCTACATTAGGGTTTAGTTCCGTACAGTTTTGTTTGGACAAAGTACAGTGATAGCTACAAGACAAATTAGATGGATTATCAGGTAGACGAACACAGCAACAGCAAACATACTTCGGAGGGAATGACATACGGGTGGGTTGCATGGTCACAGTCAGTCAGTCGTTTAAGGTCAGAGAGCTTTGTCATTCACTTGTGTAGATTCACAGACACAAGTTAGGGTCGGTAGAGTTAGTGTTCTCAAAGTACGCAACCACCTGTAGCCTAGATAGTGACGGAGCGCTATGAGGCAACCTTTACTACGACCACAAGACCAGAAACTGGCCTGGAAAGAAAACGCAGGCTACAACTGTATTTAGTAACGGTAGGTTATGTACTTAGGTACTAGAGAATGCACGAATCCTAAAGGCACTCATAGGAGTATTTTGCAATAGAAGAGAATTTTCCTGAGCTAATCGCCCTTCATCCTACTGATCCAGTAGCTTCTCTTCTTTAGAAATACCAGAACAGAGCTTAACGAGCAGTTTTACCTCACGGATGCCTCCTTTTCCCAGTCTTAACAATGCAGTACTGTATTCGCTGATACCCGACTGCCGCTTCCCAGCAGTTCCAAGAAGACTTTAGACGCTAACGCTAGAAGGTTAGTCACTTGGTCTAGGGAAAAGTGAAATTCCTCTTTGAATTCTGGTTGGCAGCACCTTGGTTTGCAGCCTACATTCCCCAGACCCGAAGTGTCAGAATTAAGGTTGCCTAACAGGAAATGGCAGGAGTTTCAAACAACGCGGTACTCGTGGCATGAAATAACAGCTGCAGTGTCCAGAACACGGGGAGAAATGCATCCTGGTTCAAAAGGATTGATCACAACACAATCTGCAGGACTTTGTGTTGAGTAATTCTATCATCTGGTAATATCTAGGATAGAGTCATCTTTCTCACAGAACTATTTTCCTGAAAAGCTTAATCTATCTTCCTCTCCCCCCCCGCCCCCCCAACAAAAAAAAAAAAGCAACCCCAAAAGAGAGGCTCCTTCATTCAGCATCCCCCTAACTGCTTCTCCTCTTGTCCTGGACCTATTTTAATCAGTCATTATGGTTTTGAACCTGTTCAGGAGCTTGATGAGATGAAATTCTGAAGACACGTATATGAAGATGAGCAGCAATCTGTAGGCATACACCAGCGGCATATCTCAGCATATCAAACAAGGATATGAACTTTGAGAGAACAGAAGAGAACAAAACAGGTTAAAAACTAAAAAAAAAAAAAAAAAAAATCAAAACCAAAAAGCCCACCACCACTAAACATATTTTTTTAAATTGTCCCTACTACAAATTCAACTATACTTTAATCAGAATCTGTCCAAGTGACAAGTTTAACATGCATTGTAACATACAGATACAGAGTGGTCTAGAGAAGAAAAAAAACCCACAAAACCCCCAAACCCAAAAAACAAACAGCACCAAACACTTACAAAGTCTGCTAAACCAGGGTGAGCCTGCAGTTTGCAGAGCAGCTTTAAACAAACCACCTGAACTAAAGCATAATTGCAAGAGAGTTCTGTACGTTTGCTTTCAGACCCCCCTTCCAAGGGAAGTCAGCCCATCAGCTCCCAAAACACACGTTTACATGGTGCCCTGGCCGCCCCCCTGCAGTGACAGATGAAATCTGAGCCAGTCAGAAATGGCAGAGCAGAACAACAGGGACAGCTCTCAACCCGTGCCTTTAAGTGTGCCCCAAATGAAAAGTATGAAGCGAAATCTTACCAATGCTATCCACAGAACGATATATTCATCAACGAAACTGTTGAAGTACTGATCCAAAAACAGAAGTCCTGGCCCAATAAACGCAGTGTCCTGAAGACAGATTTCACTTTTTGTCATGTGAGCCACCTATTGCAAATACAAAAAAAAAAAATATATAAAAATAAGGACACAAACAAAAATGCATCACCTCAAACGCATCACTGCTCAGCGCAACTACCAGAAAACCAGCACGACGCCCCTGCCCAGCAACAGCCTCCTGTCCACAGCTCGTCAGAAGCGATCAGCAGGCAGGCCGAGGGCTTTGCAAATGCTTCAGGGCCGGCTGCTCCCTGACAGCTTCTTTCCCAAGGACCAAGTCACCTCTTTCCAGTTATATATATATATATATAGCACTTCAATCAGCGGTAACAGCTATCCCAGTTATCAGCTGGTATTTGTTGGCTTTATTGCATAAGAAATGCGCACACGTCCCTCAACGTTCTTCTGGAAGTGACATCCACCCCAGTGCATTTTAGCTGTTTGCAGGGGTTCCCCACTCCGTATTTTTTCAGTGCTGTAGCTGAAGGGTAAGACTGCACAAGTCCATTACCGAAAATGAACACTTACTCACTTGAAATGTTGCTTTCAAGTCTAACTTGAAAATTTTGGCTTTACTTAGCTAAAAGCTAACTAGAAACTAGGCTTTTGCTTAGGTGACGAGACTTGTGTTTGCTGTTTAGTAGAGAGCGCGATGTATGCACAGAGACGCTTTACAGAATGACCAAGAGGAGAAGATTACTGGGGGCAGAGGGAGGGAATCTATTACACACACACACACACCTTGATCCTTCCATATTTAGCATTCTTAGAGACAACTTAAGTTCACCTTTAACTGAGAGGCAGAAGAAGAGTTTTTTGTAAGAAGTTGGAGACCTAATAAAGGGCGTAAGAAGAGTCCATACCAGGAAGCTCAAAACTGGCAGAAGGACAGTAGTCGAGGTGCCAAGTTTGCCGTAAGAAATGGGGAAGGGCCTCCTCAAACAGCATCAGGAAACTGTGAGAGCCAGGAAACCCTTTCCCCCCCCACCTTTACAGATTGGCCTCTGGAGCAGACTATCCTCAAAGCCACAGATAAAGAGTCGAGGGAAACACGGTTTGCTGAGGAGCAAGCTGACATACGTACAGCAGTGACTGCTGGTCATGAGGACCCAGGGGGCCTCTGCACGAGCAAGGCAAAGGAGCCAAGGTGTCTGACAGAATACAAGAGCTGCCTCAAGTTCAGTCTTAAGGCTGTGTCTTCTTATCAGTGTTCTCTCTCTTGAGCCAAACGAGGAGCTCACGAGGTGAACTCCTGTTTAGCAAGAAAGCCTGCAGAATACCTGTTTTCTAGTGTTTGAAAAATGTCGTGCTGGGGGGGGGAAAATCAGCTGGCTGGATTGCTACTGTTAGCAAATATGTAGTAAGGCAGACCTTTTTTTTAATCCATTGATGAGGTCTTTAATTACAAAAGAGAGAAAGATAGAAAAGTTTTTCTCTTTGTTTTAATGATTAAAGTAAACTCCTATTTCAGATAATTAAATCACAGAATCACAGAATCATAGAACGTTTTGGGTTGGAAGGGACCCCTAGAGGTCATCCAGTCCAACCCCCCTGCAGGAACAGGGACACCGCTAACCAGATCAGGTTGCTCAGAGCCCCGTCCAACCTGGCCTTGAATGTTTCCAGGGATGGGGCCTCCACTACCTCTCTGGGCAACCTGTTCCAGTGTTTCACCACCCTCATTGTAAAGAATTTCTTCCTTATATCTAGTCTAAACCTACCCTGGTTTAGTTTAAAACCATTACCCCTTGTCTTGTCACTGCTGGCCCTACTAAAAAGATTTTCCCCATCTTTCCTATAGGCCCCCTTTAGGTACTGAAAGGCCGCAATCAGGTCTCCCCGCAGCCTTCTCTTCTCCATGCTGAACAAGCCCAACTCCCTCAGCCTGTCCTCATAGGAGAGGTGCTCCAGCCCCCGGATCATTTTTGTGGCCCTCCAATCAGAAGTCACAGCACTGTTAGTAAGGCTTGAGGGACCACAGTTATGGTGTTACAGACAGACAGTATATTTCTAGGAGAAAGTGAAACAAAACTGAAAGTTCTAACCCATACATTCAACAATAAGTATGTGTTTGCATTGGTGTCACATATAACCCCTCTGTAGGAACCCGAGTCCCATTTGGTATCTTGGTCATAGCGAAACCGGTAATACAGTGGCAGAGCAGAATGGGAAAACTTGCAGTGCCCACTGATCCAGCAAGCGTTAAGCCAAGAGCCAGTTTAGTTTTAGGAGGTTTAGGACTGAAAGAAGATTCCTTACCACCAACTTCTGTGAGATTTTAGCATTCACGAATCCAAATGTCAAGACATACAGGCAAGAATGTTTTTCAAACAGCCGAGTTGTAGACTTTTTATAGATCACGATGGCCAGTGTGATAAGTAGGCCAATGTGCAGGCCGGGTGAGAGAACACTCGTTCCCTGAAATACAAATGGACAGAAAATTTTTCTTTGGCTTCAGTCACACCATAAGGTCCAGACAGTATATGTATTGCAGATCCCGGGACACAAAACCAGAGTTGTCAAAACTCAGGGGAAGTCCTTTAGCAGTATGGCAATGCTATTAGTGTCCTCTGCAGTGACCCCTAATCAGTTCTGTAAGAAAATTCATTGCTGGTTCCTGCGATAGAAGAAATCCAGTAGCAGGTAGACAGAAGGTAGATAAAGAAGTCTTTGCTTTAGCCATCCAACACTCATATGCTTCTCTGCTTAAATGCTTAAACAGATAAAACCCTTATAATCATCCGAAATGCATAAATTGTGGGCATAAATTATTCAAACCTCATGCAGATTTTTGAAGCGACTTACTGCTATTGTAGATCCATTCTTTCCAACCCCTCCACCAAAGATGACACGGAAGTAATTGAAAAAAGAAAGTGCTGTTCCACACAGTATGCCAAAAACAGCAAAGAACTTCAGTTCCAAGCCCACCAAAGGGACCTTAGCAGGAAAAACAAGAGAAAGATATTAAAAGTGAAGGGTAACACCTTTTTAAAAAGTGATTTAAAAAGTTACCGATACCTATTAAACAATTGTTTTATTTGAAATCTCGCTTTCCCAGGAACAGGCTCAGGAGGTCAGTGTTTGGAGTTCGTTTCCTTACTAAGGAGATGACAAATTTCTTTCCTAACGTTTAAACTCGACTTTTGAGTACTTAAGTTCTGGTCTTGAAATTCAGCTAAATCTTATCGCGTTTGTCCTTATGGTGTTCTTCAAATAGTTTCACTACATAAGCAAAAACTTGACACAGACTACTGCATCACCAAGGCATGGGAGGGGGGAGAAGGGCAGTTCCTTCTATGTCACTGGGTAACACAATACTGAGCCACAGGAAACAAACACCATCTGCCCGCCCTGTGGTTTGGTACGTGCTATGTGTATGCTGTATCTTTGCGTAGTCTCCAGATACAAATTTTAATGAAACAGTTACCTTTCAGAATCAATTGCAGTTTCAAGAAAGCTTCCAAAGGCAGCAGAGGATTTAAAAAAAAAAAAAAAAAAAGTAGTAATAAATTGAAACCACTGACTATATTTTTGAAGATGGCTTGTTTTGAGATACAGCATAACTACCACGGATTTTAATACTGAAGAAAAATGAATCACAATTAGAGTCTCATGCACCTACTTCATTTTCCAGCATGAAAATAAGCTGTTTGCAAATCGAACAAAAGCATATTGCAGGAAGGGGAAAGGAGACAAAATTTAGCTAAATATTTCTTAATTGCTGAGTAAACTTGTGGATTAATTTGAATTACTTGGTGTTTTATATTCAGATTAATTTGCATTGGTTATTAATAGCATGGAATGGTCCCAGCTCTTCCACACACTGTAACCATGCAGAACTGTAAATTTCTGAGTAAAGACCCAGAAAGGAGAAAGGTGCTGGTCTAATATACTTCTGATCCCCTCCACTACAGTGCATCTTTAAAGATCAGAATAAAATCCAGAGACAGGGAAATGCTTTTGGACAGAAAACACTTCTTTAAATGTAGATATTTACATTTATGTCAGCTCTGACATAGCTGTTAAAAATCAGTACATCTCCATTGGCAAGTAAATATGGATTACTTAACCGAAACCCCCCTAACTTCATCCCATGGTTTTGTTAGGTTTAAGCATTTAATCTTTAAATTTTAACATAAAACATCCTGTAAATCATTTAACTGGACAGAAATGTACGTTCTAGAATAGAACATACAAAAGAAATAAAACTAGAACAAAAACTATGCATTAAAGCTTAAGTATCTGCAGAGTATTAATTCCAGATCAGAAGTTCGTATGTGGCAGATGGGGTCTTTTTTCCTCTATGTAGCTCTAAATTTGTGCATAGCAAGTGACACCGTTGTATCTAAGTTAACTACAACATAAAAATAACCTACGTTTGTACAATAAGCTAAGACAGAACATTAGACAACTAGCGGGCGTTGATGGTACTTGCACGAGATAAGCTTCAAACACCATGGGAACTGCGAACGGTTAACAGGAACCAAACACTCAACAGGAACTGGGAATACTTCATATGCTTACCCTATAGTCCCATATCGCTGTGCCAGCGTAGGCAGATATCAAGAGCAGCACTGTTATGGCTATTTGAACTTCAGTTACGTCAACTCTATGAAAGAAAAAAAGGGAGATTCAATTAATAAAAAAGGTCTTTTTGCTGTAAGTGTAAGACAGGCAAAGGGGGAATAGAGAAACAGTGACTTTAAATTATCTCTTTAAAAGCACTTCAAATTACATCAACGTACATACAATATGATTTTCCTTGACTGAGAAAGACACTCTGTATGGAGGCACACGTCTTTGGTTAAGATTTAAAATTAAACCTATACTCCTTACCTACAGCAAGCTACACGTAATTGTAAGGGGGAAAATCTTTAATGAATACACTGTTACCTGTTTGAGAATTCTGTATAACTTTACAGAGCTGTTGCTGCGCAAGCATCAAATTAAAGTTTAAGGCAGGCTCATAGTAAATGAAATCAATTCTATTAAAAGCATATCATATAAATGTATGGACTGTGCAGGCTGGGACAGAAGGGATTTCTTTAAGCCATCATATCACAAAAACTTGACAGATAGAGCCTGGAAAACATAAGGGCAGTATTTTGAGGACTGAGTCGGTGGATAGCTCAGCACCTGCCCTGTTTCAGAGGACATATAATTGATATCTTGCTTTTTTCCATAAAAACATTTTTAAAATAGGTGGCCTTGCATGCTCCCTGAAGTCTAGACTCTGTATTCTGCCTTTTATCTTCTTAGACAAGATAGCCAAACTCCTTCTTTCTGTATTTGATTGATGAAGTGTTTTGAGAAGACCTGAATATATAAACCTTGCATGCTCCCTGAAGTCTAGACTCTGTATTTGACCCTGAACTCTAACTCTGTAAAAGTTAAGAGGAAGCTCAAGAGAAAGAACATGTATTTTCAATAAAGCTTTAAAATAACTACATAAAATAAATAAGGGTACATCTAAGGTACTGTTTATGCTGCCGAAGGTTTTGAGGCAGGTATCTGATCTTTGTACTGAAATTACCAGCAAACAGTGAGAATGGATGTTTAAAACACAACACTTGCTTAAGCAGTTAGAATAAATCTGCTCTTTCAAGGTATTACAACCAAAGTCAACACGTATCACAACTTGCTTAGCACGTGAACTGTTTGCACAGGAAACTATTTTTAAAGGGAGATGGGAATCAACTCTTGGCTAATGGCAAACACTGATCTTGATAATCACAGTAACATTAAACTCTCTTCTTTCCTCAGAAAGATAGTGATAAAATACGCTGAGTTTCATCACAAGCTTCAGACTCTTAGTCTTAGAAGAGCCAAAGTTTAAGCTGCAACCAGACGATATGCTGAGGTGCTCGTCACCGTCCAAAGCCACTGGAATGTGTGGTCCTCTCCTTCCTACGCCGCTGCGCTCCCTCGCTTGTCCTAGCTGTTGTGCTCGTATGACTGTAAGGTGAGCCAGTTCAGCTTGCTAGCCTCGTGTAGGTTTTCAATCTTCTGCCCGTTTCATGAATTGGCTTGAAGTCAAGTGACAGAGCCTGCGCAGGGGGGAAAGAGGACAGTGCTGCTGGCAGCGGGCTTTTCCCTCTCTACCAGGGATGCACCTGCCCTCACGTTGCTGTAGCTGCACACTGAACTTGATGGTTACGTCATGCAAAAGCATCTACATGCAAGTGCACGTGTTCAGAGCTTGCACCCTGGTGCTATTACACCCTCGATTTCTAAGCTGTACTGCACGTGCTGCTGTTGGCAGGGGGAGGAGGCTCGAACTTGAAGTCAAGTCATTATACGTGCCAAAGTTTAGTACTTCATTTTACAGAGGCTCATACAGTTGGTTGCAACACAGCCCAAATCAGAGTCCAAAGATTTTAACCAGACACTGTGCGGTATTCTACATAACCTGACAGTGGCACAGTACCCAGCTTCTCTGATCCTTCCTGGCCATCAGCGCTAGGACTCTCTCATCTGCCATTTGACTTCTAAAATCAAGTGCCACTCATTCAGGAACCGCACCAGTGAAAGCTTCTGTCCACGCTATTAAGTATTATCATACTTAAAGCAACACACTATTGCCTTCATTTAGTCTCTCACCTCCATGCTTAAGAGAAATAAAATTGTGTGCCTTGAAACAACTCTGTCCTGTTCCCACTAAACAGAAATAAATTGCCTTGGAGAAAAGTTGTGTCTATTTAACTTCAAACAGTAAGCACGGAACACCAGGCCATTCTGAATTGCTTGTACTATCCACTATCACTATGTTTATGTAGAAGCCGTAAAGTTTTTAACGAAGTTTTTATTCACATTTTATGCAAGAGCGAAAGGCACAGAAAAGCAATCACTTCCACAAAATCCCAGAGCTCGTGGCATAGTCCATGTCCCCTCACTGTAGCCCGCTGTCACATATGGCAATTATCCTATTGCAGCCATCACTCTAAAGCGTCTATTTTTGTTTACAGCACAAGGTGGCCTTTAAAAAAAAAGTAGGATGGGTAGGCAGGTAGGAGAGTGACAGTTTGTGTGGTAAAATGCATTATCAGCGAATGAAAGGAGCTCTTGGCATTACCACAGGGACAGCTTTGGCATTACCACAGGGACAGCTTTCTTTTGATACAGACAGGGAACAGTACACAAGGATAGCTGGTCACTAGCCTGCCTGCCCTGTGACGCTCGGATTTGCTAAGGCGCTTTTTGCGGGTCTAAGCAGGACTATAAACAGGTGAATTAACATTTGACTAGGATTATCAGAAGGACAGCCTTCATCTATCACATCTTTCCACTTTGCTGCTACGGAAGTCTCTGATCTTTTCCTCTTCTCCGAAATCATTACTGAAGTGCAGCTCACTCTTTAAAAAACAGCAGAAGGCCATGGCTAGGCACCACCACAGCTGTGGGAGGGTGCAGCAATCCCCACGTTATTAGGAGTTAAATTGAAATTGTTTTCTTCTACATGAATATCATGACTCCTCCTCCCACACTGTAGTGAGACCAGAGGCAGTTTCTACCAAGTCAAGAACAGCATCACAGCAATCACTAGAACTGTGACATAACACAAAACCTAAAGGACATCAAAACCAGTATGAGCCAAATTAAAAGCAAAGCCTCCAGATAAACCCGGGGCAATTCTTCAAGCACCGACATAGCTCTGTGGAACTCCTTGACAAAGGATGCAATGGATGCAGAGAGTTTGTTCGAAGGAAGACTGAAAGTGTCTATGGAAGAGAAACCCATTAGCATGGGAGTTCCTCTAAAAACTCAAGTGGTCCAGAGTCCCCTGGGCTGAAACTGTTCTGTGTCTTGGGAGGTTACAGAAGGAGGTACTGTAGACACTTGCTCTGTCCCTACTCCCACACCGAGCCCTTGTTCACACTGCAGGCAAGACCTCTTTGGCCTGAGCCCACATGGTGCCTGTATGGGTTCTGAGAACACATCCGCAGACACAAGCGCCAAACACAGGCAAACAGAGCATATATAGCTAAAATTGGCTTCTAAAAGAACAAGTCCTCTGCTCAGTATTATGCAGAGCTTTAAAGTTCTTGCCAGGTAAAACACAAGTCTGCCAGGGTGGAAGGGAGACAGGAAGAAGGTGAGAGGAAGAGAGAGCAGCGGAAAAAAACAAGGAGAAATGGAAATCAAGTAGCTAGCAGTCTCAAACATTAAACCACATGTACTTCTAAAGATGCCTACTTACTTTCCAAACCTTAGTATGCCTGATACATATGTCTGCCAGTGAGCAGAATAGAACATGAACAGTCCCACAAAACAACAGAAAAACAACCAGTCAGGATTTGTTCCTAGTCGGACTGCTATGCAGGATCCAAGGACAACAAAAACTGAAAAGCAGAAATGAACATGTTAGTCATATACGCTCTTTGCTTGCAGTTAAGAGCAATTAAAAAAAAAAAAAAAAATCAAAAGGCATTTTACAATCACTGCAACAAAGTAATGATTTGACTGATACTTTACCGAGTAGCTAACCTCAGGGACAGTCCTGGCAGAAGAGACCAAAACACAGGATTCCTTTTCTCCCAGGCAAGGGCCCCGCCTTCTAGCCTACAGTGGTCACCCTCCCTTCTTCTGGCCTTGTCATCTCGTGTCCTTTGCGACACTGACAGCTTCACCTCAAGGGCCCAGCTCAGAGAGACTGGTAGTGGCACTCCTCTGGGAAGCGAGGTGTAAAGAATGCACCAAATCCCAGGACAAATGTTTCAGCCATTAAGCTTTTATAGAAGTACAGGCACTGCCACCAATGGCAGCTAAGTGATGGGAAGTAAAACTGAGCAAGGCTTACTTTTAAAGGACTCCAACTTATTTTAAAACTCATTCGTCTAAGGAATATAAATTATCCTTCTCCTAAGGGCCAGGCTGGATGCCCTCTTACGAAACTGATATTTTGGCATCTCACTCCTAAAGCAGAATCCTCAGTTTCGCATGCCAGCATCTGTCTTTTAGGTCCTTAAAATCCTTTTTTAGGCATCACCTGTACCTTACTGGAAAACACAGGCTACGTACAATACAGAATCTCTAAGGATGCTCCTACAGAATTATTCTTTGTTCACCACCTAGCTCGTTCAAAGGGCACTGTGTGTGAAGACGTCCAGTGAGAGCAGAATGCACAGTACCCAACATCTGCCAAAGGTGCTTCTGACATACCCTCCCTGATACCGGTCAGGGATCTAAAGGGCAGGGGCAGCCTTGGCTGCACTGACCAGGAGTTGGTGAAGTTACCCTAAAAGAAGGGAACAGGCTGATCCTGCCCTGGGCGGGGCGTTGCACTAGATGATCTCCAGAGGTCCTTCTCCAACTTCAACAAATCTGTGATTCATCAGCTCCTCTTGAAAACAGGTAACTTTTTCAAAACTAGGATGGGTAAATGTAGGTTAAGGCTACCTGTGGAAATCGAGTCGCAACCATGATCAAAGAGTTCTCCTAGAGGAGAACTACTGTTTGTTCTTCTGGCTTGCTTCCCATCAATGGCATCCAGAGACTGGTAGATAAAAAGTCCTAATGCACCCAGGATGTATGCCCAAAAAGGTGCCTGAAAGAGATTCACATAAAAGGTCACCAGGCAGTTGCCAATTTCTTAGCTGATAAACTATTTCATTAAAGGTAAAATACTGTTCAGCGCAAAACCATACTACGTTGTGCTATTTGTTACTGAGTTAACAGAACATCCTACGTGAACTGTAGTAACTACTATAATGAGCTACTCTGGATACACCAGTAAAACACAGGTCCTTCTATTTATTTAAAAGAACCCAAACAAACTTTAACCTCTCTTCTGCATCAACTGACTTATTTTTCCACCTTAAAACCACAGTAATTCTATAACTACATTCTTTGTGCTGAAAAATGTTATGAAAATAAAATTAATCTTTAAAAGAGAAAATAGTAGCAAGGCACTTACTAAAGTTCTCAGCAGTTTATGCGACAGACACTTAGATGATTTGCTCAGATTTACAACATCTAGATATAAAAACCCATTACAGTTTACTGAATAAAAACTTTAGCTTTTAGGGAAAAAGATTTTTTTCCAACATACAAAAATTGACTACAAAGGCATTTTGGACAGAGGTTTGAGGAAATCAAGTCACTCACTAAAAATGAACGAGCAACTATCTACTTAACATAAAGTATCAGTTTCAAAACAAGCTGTGAGTTAGTTACATCAACACCCCTCGTAGGTTCAAGGGAACTGTGCTACCGTAGTACCTCTCAAAAGCATTATTTTCATACGCACAGTCAGTATGTCTTTGCTTGTCTAAGAATTAGTTTTTACTAAAAAGTATTTCTAACACCTTTTGAACGAAGTACAGGTAACACTTTTGCCTCAAGTAGTCTCCATCGGTAAACACGCAGAAGCACTGTTCACAAAAAGAGAGCCAAAGCTCGGTGCGAATGCTGGAAGCGCAACTTGCAGGTTAAACAAGCAAACGGCCACAGGCAGCCACAAAGCTAAATCCTTTCCCACTGTCCCAGGTAAGGGACAGCTGCTGCAGCTCTACACCTCTGCAACTCCTCTCCTGCAGCGCAGATAGACCAACATGATTACATGTATTACCTAAGTCCAGTAAAGGCTATTAAGCAGATTTAGGCAACGGGTGAAATCTCAGTGACCTGAGATTTGTCCACACTCACGTAAACCCAGTGTCACTGCTGGGGAAAAAGGAAAAAATGACACTTGCCAATCAGTTCATAAGGCAAGGACAGGAGAAGGCAGCCATAAGCATGCAGATGAGGCGAGTTGCTCCTCCAGACATTCTGTTTTCTCATCATCGTTACATTCACTGACTTGAGCTAGGAAAACAGTTATGCCTCCAGTTAGACTGATCGCAAAACATATCCTTCCCAAGAACCAGCATGCTTAAGGGAACTTCAGTTCTGAACAGCTTTTTTGCTGTTATTTAAGACTTCCTCATGTATTCGAGGCTGGCTGATACACTATGTTATCTCTTAGTTTTGTGCTTTTAATATGGAGACAATTTTGTCAGCAAATTTATGATTTTCCTGCTACACAATATTTGGATAAGTTCATTAATAAAACGTTCTACCATTTGAAGTCAAATGGTTGGCTGCTTCGCCCAGCTCTGAAGCAAAAGACAGCCAAGGAATGAGAGACTCCAGCTATAGGTGAGAAGTCTGGATTTGTAAGTACATAGAAATCCAGAAGATTTAGAAAGTTCTTCAGAACTGGTGAGGCCATCTTTTCCCTTAATCCAAGGAAACGAAGAAAAATTGTCATCACAGATGATGTTGGAAGCCTTAAGCAGGTGAAAGAGGATGAGCAGATATTCTCTTTTCAGTGGACATTTAACATGCTGGTATCTGATAACGCCCACAAAAAGCACTCCATAGAAATCTAGGTCAAGTGATTACAGCAATATGTTTGATGTTTACCAATGGAATTAGTTGAGTTATTTAGGTTTCTTCTCCCTTGTTAGTCCAGTTAAACAAAGGAATTTTCTGTTGGGGCATAGGGTTAAACCAGGGACCGAGTTCTTAGTCATCTTTGGAAAAAGTTTCTCTCCTCTGTTGTCTGTGGACAACAGGAGGAGCCTACTGCTGCCCTGGGTCATGGATGACCAAGAGCCACGTGCAGGAAGAGAAACCTAGGGGGCTTCTTCTGGCACAAGCTCACTTGGTCAGACTTGTTCTGCAGGGAGGCAGTGGCTACGTGTCAGCCCCTGTTCTTGCTCTCCACCTTTCTAAAATAGAGGGCTCTCAGCCATTGCTCAGGTATTTCAGGAGATAAAAGCACAGTTAGGACCCTGTTGAAGCTAGGATCATTTTACTTGTGACACAATCCACATATTAAAGCTACTACAGTAGCTATACTGACTTTTTCAGAATAACTTTGTGGTATGGAAAGTAACAGATACTCTCAAACAAGGCGGCTCCTTTACAGAGACCTATGAATGAAGCACCATGAGCAGAAAGGCCGGGAGAAACCACCAGTTTCACTGCAGCCCTTTAAAGTAATATTTTGAAGACATCTCCAATTTTATCACCTATATTACTGTAAAATGCCACAAAGGTAATTTGCAGTGTTTTATCAGGCATCCTTCCTGTGACATACTTCTACTAGTTATGAAAGGATAGCATGAGATCTACTGAAACTTGTCATGCTAATCCCTGGATTTTAGCAAGTAAGCCAGGCCACACCTGGCAATTCTGTTCAGGACCCCACTGGTTTTGGTTGCATTAGGCTCCCCTCCTTTTGCAACCATCTACCTATAACTGAAATAGACTTTAGTTTGCTTTAAAGTCATCAGGTTTTCCATATCATGGACAAAAGTATCCAGTGCTACATATGCAAGCTAAATTCCTTACCCACTCTGCATTCACACACACACACCTCACCGCCCCACACCCTCCCCAGCATGGGGCACATCACCAATTAAGTCAAATGCCAGAGCGTGGGCAGTTTCTTACTTAGCTGGATCATTTCCATAATTGAAACACCAGTCAGGAACAGAAACCTGCTATGGCACTTTTTTTTTATCATTAGCCATAGTGCTCTGTGCCATATTACCATAGCCTTTTGAGATGCTAGTGCCATGATTTACAGCCTCAATTCTAACCAAAACAGGCGGCTTGCATGCTGGTTTCTGCAGTCAGTTTATGAAAGTTTCCATAACCCACAGAACATGAGGCAAGAATTCTTTTTCAAGGTAACATTGTCCGCATTTACCTTACCTCGAAGCAAGTTTAACACATTAAACGTAAAAATAAATAAATCAATCCGCTTCAACTCAACCTCTCTTACCAGGTCTTTTTGACAAAGCAATGGCTTGAGTTTCAAGTTATTGTACAGGTATAACGATTAAGACTGCGGATCCAAGTCTGTTTGCATCGGCTTGTGCTGGGACAAATCAAAGCAACGATCCCCTCAGACTCCAAAACTAGAATGCTCTGCTCACTGACAATCTGGAAAGAGGGGGAGAAGTCTTCATCCTCTTCCCAGTAAGGATATCTGTATCCGTTAACACCTGCAGCGGATGCATCTGTATCCCTGCAGTTGCGGAGAAGGGAAGAAGATCCTAGTAAGAACAGGGGAACAGGTGTCCGAGAGGGCTTAGAAACACGATCTATCTGGAGCATTTCATCCCTAGGCTGTCAGTTCAAATCAAACCCAAACTGGTAACAACCAAAGATCACTCATGATCAACCATGCATTTAGCAGATTAAATGAACACTCTAATGGTAAAACACAAGTGTTCCAAATCATGAAAGGTGAGCAGAGGTTTCTGAAGTTCCTAATAACCACAGATTCTCTCTGCTATCCGCCCTCTCAATACAGCTACAGCTGCCATCTCCTCCGCCTTCTCACATTCCTGGCTCTTCATCCAGGGATGTCCCCTGCCGGTTTCCCACGCTGGACCCAAGTAGTTTGCAAATTAAAGAAGTGGGAGCATTTGAGAATGCTGACATGGCTGACAGACTCACTAGAAAGGTCAGGAGGCTCCCAATAATCATCAGCTTTTCACTGATGAGGTGTTTATTAACTCTGCCCAAAGTTATATCCTGTCCAAGCAAATATATTATTTGGCCAGAGCTAGATGCTATTCTCATGGAACTAGAGCAGAACACAAACCCGGGGCAGGGGGAAAGAAGGCTTCTCCACTTCAATTAAAAAGGATGTCTGAAAGATGATATAGCCCCAGAATCTTGATTTAGTACAGCAGGTCTGGTCATCTACTGAACCAGAGGGTGTCAAAGCAGAGCAATGCGCATATAGCGTTTGACGGGTACGTGTGGCATGCCTCTCCTTCAGGAAAAAGCAGGTTGAACAGCAGTCCTCATTCTTCTGCTCCTGTGATTTCGCACCACAGAAGAGCATGGACGGCTGCAGAAGACTTGATGTGCCAAGAAGATCCTTTACCACTTATTTCAAAGCAAAGCTCTCAAGCCTGAAGAGTTCAACAGCCCAAGCTTATGCAACATTTAAAGACTCAGCCCCCCTTAATTACTTATCGCGTTTAGTCATAATCTCGCTTCCTCAATCCAACAACACAGCAACTAATTTTGCCTTACACAGCGCCTCTCTGGAACAGATCCAGAATAGAGAAAGACATTTTTACCGGACTTCTCCCTCTTCTCCCCAAATATGGATCATTTCCCTCACTTCCGTTTTGCCCAAAGCACTATGTACAATTGTACTAATAGCAGGAGAAGGGAAAGGGCTGTTTAAACCTGCATTACAGCAGGGGCACAGTGCAGGGATGGGAAAAAAAAATTGAAAAAAATCATGCTATAGCCCAAGTGCATTTCATACACACCAGGGACTCCTTGCATTCATTCCTTCAGCATCCTCCTCTCCTCAACAAGCTCTCTCTGAAAGAGCTCCCAACTTTCTGCGCTGGGGTTCCTGAACCTTCGCTGTCATCCTTTATGCCGAACGCATCTTTCTCCCATTCACTACTGAGTGTTCCATTCTTCACTCATGGGTATGGGCTGGATTCCCTGCCCCACTCAGTGCTTCCCATCTCTCCTCTACCAGGTGAGGGGCTTAATGCTTCTTCCTTCATGCCCCCAGTTCATACCAGCTGTTCCAGTTCCCCCTCTTTTCTACTCCTTTATTTTCTCTCCCACAAAGCTCAGTTGTGCCCCTGCTATTTACCGAATTCCATACCTGTAAATATCTTCCCTTCCTTTCTCCCTCTGACAGGAAAAACTCAGGACGATGCCTCTTTTAGTTTTCCAGATGAGGTTTGGGGGTTTGTTGGGGTTTTCTTGTGTGGCTTTTTTTGGTTGTTGTTGGTGGTGTTTTTTTAAAAGAGGTTTTTAAAAAGAGAATTTGAGAGTAGGAGAGACAGTACCTCACCAATGTTCCTCTCCCTCCAAGCAGTTAACAGTAGAGCTAGCTGGAGCCACCTAGGCCCTCCCCTGCTTTTTGATTTCCCTAGACGCATGGCGTTCTAAATAGCATGTTTCAGCAACGTATAGCACCCTTTCCTAAATGCACCACACCATTTTTTAAGCAAATCTACAGAGCCAGACATCACAAGTCTCCCTTCCCTCCCTAGCTCTGCTCTCTGCATGAGAACCCTTGAGCCCCTGCTTCCTTTCGCCATCACTGTCCAAACTGCAAATCCATAATCCATGGTTTTCTCTTCCTGTATTCCTCTATTCCCAGTAACCTGCAGGAAATTATAAACAAGAGAAACAAAGGCATTAAAAAAACCCCAAATAAGTAAGACATGATGGAACCTAAGAAGCTGAGAGCAGGACAAATCTGTATCACTGGATGTAATCTGCTCTGATCAATTGGGGGGGGCTCTTTGCTTAGATCCTGGTATAACTGCTACAAGGTTTTTTTAAAAATAGATATGCATTCAATACAAAGTAATAATTACTGTTAGTGTGAACTTCTGTGCTAAAATTCTAGCTTCCCATGGTATTTTAGAGACACGTGGCTGAGCTCAAAGCATTACAGAAGCTAGACCCCTCCATGAGCAACCATGAAAGCAGCAGGATTAGTTTCCTTTCTCCTTTTTATTAAGATAGAGAATTATGTTTAGCCAGTTTTCTTCCTAGTGTTGATGCAAGGAAAAAATTAACACGTCAGTTTTCCCCAGAATGGGAAGGGGTAACAAGACATTCATGCGCAAAAAGAAATGGTCTGAAAGTTGCGCCAGGGCAGGTTTAGATTAGACATTAGGAAAAATTTCTTCACAGAAAGGGTTGTCAGGCACTGGAATGGGCTTCCCAGGGAAGTAGTCAAGTCCCCATCCCTGGAGGTATTTAAAAGACAGGTAGATGAGGTGCTTAGGGACATGGTTTAGTGGTGGGATGGCTGGGTTAGGAGAACGGTTGGAGACTTGATGATCTTAAAGGTCTTTTCCAACCTAAATGATTCTATGATTCTAAAACCTAATGAAGTAACTGTAGCTACTTCAGAGAAGTCAGCTTGCAGTAGGGCAAAACAGTTCACTGTCAAATGGTGGGGATAAAATGGAAATCCTCACCTAAACGTGCTCCTTTTACACTCTAATGCCGCAAATACAAACTGTTTGTACTTAAAGTCAGCAAAACTTTTCATTCCTAATTATTTTATAATTAGTGTAAGAAAAAAGAAAAAAATAAAAAGAAAAAACAAAACCAGCCTGCAGTCACAGCGAAGAAGATTTTAACCCTCCACAGAACATGAAATGTGCAGGTAGTGCCCTCCCCACCACCACACCTGGTATAGCAGTCCCATATATTATTTCTATAGCTTACTGTCCTAAGTTACACAGAGTAGGAAACTGGACAAACACTCTACAAAAATCCACGCACACGTATGTTAGTTATAACAGCACTTGAGGGGTGCAGTCTGCTAATGGCTTAGCTACAAATAAGACGGCTTATGTTGAAATGCGCATTTACAGGAGACTGACACAACACATGTTTGTACCAGACAAGACGACATTACTGAAGCAGGCAAGATTTTATAAAGCCAAACGTATTGTGCTAGTCAGTAACAAACTGGCTTGTAGTGGCTACTGATGCTGATGAAGATAAGAAGAATAGTGTATAAGGAAATAACGGCTACACAGTAAGAGAACAAGGGAGCATTGTATGGTTTTAGACATGAATTGCATTGCAGGGAGGGGAAGTATTATTAAATTGTGGATCTCACTGCAATAGGACATAAGGAAAGCTGAAAGTACAAACAGGTTCAAAACACATAATTCAAAAGGCAAAAATCATGAGTTGGAAGGTGCCTGTGGGGAAACAGACCCATCAGTGGCTGGTTTTAGCAAGTAATGTGAGTAGAATCCCTCACCAAGAAACCCCTAAACCACAGTCTTTTGGCAGCTGGAAGGGTATACCAGGGAATGATCTCTTTTTCCAAGCTAGCAGCTACTCTCTGCGGGACTTCAGCTACCAGTCCAGCTTGTTTTGGATGGTTTGTACAAGCATCCAGACTTCAGTGTTTTCAATAAAGGACTAATAGAAATGGCCCACATAAGACTGGTTAGGGGAAAGAAAAAACAAACAACCACACAAACCAACTCATTAAAAACCCTCACCTAAACCCCAAACCTGCTTGTTATTTCATCTGAGTCTTCCATCCAGTGCTCCTACAGTTCCACCAAAAGAATATAACAAGTTCTTGTGAGTCCATCGGGTAATCAAGACTTGTTCGTGAACGAAAGAGGTGGCTTGGCAGTGTAGAGAGGTGATGTTGAAACGCACTACGCTCTTAGCTCAGCCTGTGATTCAATCACCTTTAACATCATTTTCAGTTCCACCTTCCCCCTAGCCCTTCCAGCCTACACATCCAAGTCAAAAGTACAAAGTAGCTATTACAACAAGCACATAGAGCACCCATTAGTGTTGCGACAGTTTTAGCTTTTTAAGAAAGCCATCCAGGCACATGACATCTTGGGTAGAAGACAAGCTGAGTCATTAAACAAGCAGAAGAGAGATAGCAACGCCCTAAGTGATGCAGCAAGAGAAAGTGAAGGCTATTCTCACAGCGCAGAGGCAACAAAAAACCCCAATAGGACTAAGGAGTCTGGCTTCACACTACACATTTCTAAAGGACATACTGATATCTGAACAAGGAAGGCTAGTCCAAACTGTAGGTTCTTATAAAATTCAGCTTCTACAATTAAAAAACAAATCAAGTTCCTAAAACTCAACCTAAGCTTTCCTGGAAGGGATAATTCTCTGGATGTCTGCAACACAACCTTTTTCTTCTTGTACAAGACTCCTCAAGAGAAAAATAGCTTAAAATTTACTTTCTCCTTTTTCCTGAAAAGCAAAGAGAAAAAGCTAAAATGAACAGCCAGACACATATCTGGCACATGATTGGCATCTACATCAAAAAACTAAGCTAAACTGAGAACTAGGAGTTCTACAACCATTTTCATTCCGAAAGTGCCCTAGAAGACTATCTGCGGTTTCCAACCATTCACTCTCATCTCTGCCCTCCCCTCTCTTACTGCCTGCAACCACCACCTCTGCCATTACAATTTAAGCCCATCAGAATGCAAGAAAGACAACCACCACCCTTCAAGATACTTTACCTACACAAAGCAATTTTCCCCTGATGTTTCCCACCCTAACTACCATAAAGACTCTGCACTAGGAAACTTGTGACAGACTGGGAAGCTCCGATGGAGCTCCTTAAATTGTCAGCGAAACCGTAGGCAACCCAGTTTAAGCAACATGAGCATCAGCCCACCTTAACAAGCCTGTTTTCCTTCCAGAAGCTAAAGCAATTAAAGGTTTCCCACGGGAGGACGGGAAGCATTTGCACTACTGTCAGCTAACACATCTGCAACAGAACCAAACCTCGACTCTGAACTAAGCGGCGTCAGCCATGCCTGGTGGCCAGCTCTGCCCTGCTCCTGGGCACATCCCGCACCCTCTCTCCTGGCCAGCGGCGCTTTCTGCCTCCACGGCCCCTCTGTTACAGCCCTCCTCTTGAGAAGGGAGTTGACACAAGCTTGCGCCTCCTTCCCAGCAAGCGGCCCCGGCAGAGGCACAGGCGTGGGGTGTACAGTGGTCCCTGGAGGAGGCTGGGCCCCATCCCCACGGGGACCTCCGGCCAGCGAAGGGCCAGGGAGGAGAGAGGAGCCCACGGAAACTCGCCCTTTCACATGATGCCCCCCCAGCATTTCGGCATTCAAACCTTAGCACCCATCTCCAAGCCTCACCCCTGCTACCCCAAAGCGTGACCCCCGCATCACCGCTCCCCGATTTCTGAGGGCAAACCCGCAGTGCTGCCTTAGCCCTCCCTACCACGGGAAGGGCCACGCGTGTTACCGCCGGGGAGCCGCAAGTGGCCGGGCACCTCGCGGCGGGGACGGCCCGAGAGCTCCGGCTACTGCCAGGAGGTACCGGGGTGGCTCCCCCACGCCGGGC